CTTTTAAAACTTTTATTTCAACTAGTCTGTGGCTGATATTTTCCATCAGCTTTTATTGTTAATTGAAAATGAAAATGGTAATCCTCAGGAGAAGAGCAGCTGTGTCATTTCGTGAGTCATTTTAAGCATAGCTTAAAAGTCACAACTTGTCGTCGTACCACATTACAAAAACAAAATAATAATAAAAAAAACAAACAATTAATTAATTGAACATTGGCTGTCTGCCTCAATAGCAACAACAAGTAAATGATACATATAACGTTTTTAATTTTTTTATAAATATTTCTTAAAATGATTTTATCTTTTTTTTTATTAGTTTAATATTTTTTTCTTTAAAATAATTTCCCTTTATTTCATTTTTTTTTAACATTTAGTTAATAATAGAAAAAAAAAATCCATAAAAAAGAGTTAAAAAAAGAAACATTTAAGTTTAAGCAATGCCTAAGTAGCAATTAATTTTCATTTTCTTTTTATATTATAAACAAAAGTTTTAGTTAATTTTTCTTTAAAAAACATAAAAAAATCACTACAAAAAAATCTAATTTTAAAATTAATGCAATACTGGCTTTTGGCTGCAAACATTTTTACTTTAATTTTTAATTTAATTACTTGTAATTTTTCCTTTTTTTTAAACAAAATTCTATTTCAGAAAACACACATAAAAATCTAATTAAAAATATTTTTTGAAATTAATTTTTTATCTGTTGTATTTACAAAAGAACACACAAACAAAAAGATGTTTATAGAAATGGAATTTAAGTTTTTAATTAAACAAAAATATCAATAAAACAAATATAAAAAAACTTAAAAACTTGACTTAAAATTATCATGATAGAAAGGGGAAAATTTTCTAGAAATCTTTTTATACAAAATGTTCGTTTATTGTCTTTTTTATAAAAATTTCGAATAATTTTCTTTTTTTTAGAAAATTTTCGATAGGTTTTTTTTTTTGAAAAATTTCAATAAATTTCCTTTTTTTAAAAAATGTCCACAAATTTTTTTTATTTTTATAAAATTTTCATTCAGTTCTATTTCAGTTCTAGTTTAGTTCTAGTTCTGTTCTAGTTCATTTCTAGTTCAGTTCTAGTTTAGTTCTGGTTCAGTTCTAGTTTAGTTCAGTTCTAGTTCAGCTCTAGTTCAGGTTCAGTTCCAGTGCAGTTTTAGTTTAATTCTTTTCAGTTCCAGAGTTAAAATAATAGCTCTCGCGTGTTTAAAATTACATCTCCTGAAAATGAGTTATATAACAAGAGATATATGTAAATAAAAGAGTATTATGAATATAAAAATTTCCTAGTCTGGTAGACAATTCCGATTTTTAAAATATTTGCTTTCAAAATCCCACTTTTTAATCTCTCGTATTCCGTTTTTATTTAAAATCGTTAAAAATTAAAAAAAGCTGAAAATTTAGCTGGCTTAGAATAGTTGGCCTCCGTTAGGTTAGTGTTCTAGTCTGATGGACCGGAGGTGGTGGGTTCGATTCCCATCTGAAGCACTGGTTAAGGAGCGCACAATATTTTTTGTGCTTTTAATATAATAGTTTCATTCGAATTGAAATTTTCTACCTATAAAATTTTTATATTTCATTTTATGACTTTCTGTTACATTCAAATATTTATTTCCTTTCGGAAAAAGTCGAAATAAATCGAAAAGTCGACTTTTCATAAAACGAAAAAGTTAAAAGTCGACTTTTTGTTTCAACTATAGAACCCTATGGCTTACAGTCAATTCAAAACCGCCGCCGACATTTTTAGTGTCAGTCACCAACGCCTTTAATTTTATTTGTCGGCGCAGGGCTCTTATTGCAAGAAGCAGTCGATAGCAAAATTTAGTTGTGTGTGCTTCGAATTAAATTTATATTCTTATTATTCTACTTGTCCAAATATCATTTATACATTCATTTTTATATTAATGCGAATATTACTGTTTCTTTGTTTAACAAAATAAAAAGTAAATACGTACACAACTTAAAACGGCTGCATACAAATTAAACAAAACCCTTAAAACGCAAAATAAAAGTGAAATTTCTTGTGCTAAAACTTTAAAAAATAAATATTAAGAAAAAAGAAAATATAATTAAGTGACGAAATATTATAAAAGTTAAAAATATAGTGTTTCCTAAAGTAAAAAAAAGGTTAGCAATAACGTAATTTTGAGAGAATATATCATCAAAGTGGTTAAACAAGTTATTTAGTTTTAATTGAAAATGAAAAGAAAAAAAACAAGAAAATTTAACTTAATAAAATATAACAAGTTACTAAAAAACATGGTTAACTGAAAAACGTGAAATACGAACAGAAAATATTGTTGCAAAAAGGAAGTTATTTTAAAATTTCCTTTTTTTGTCTTTTTTTAGTGGAGAGACAGGCAGCTGCTGCTCACTACTATTTTAATAATGCCTTAATAAGATTAGAGTTGTCAAGACATTTGTTTTATGACAATTGGCGGGATTGATGAATTGTATAGTAACAGGGGTGGTTTCCATGGTGGATTAGTGTAAAAAACTATTTGTAGAGATTAAAAATAATAGGTTATGTTTTAAAAATTATAATAACTAAGGGACATTGTTACAATTTTGCAAATGCTGAATTTTATGTATTTAGTTAAAAGATTTTGCAAACTTAAAACTTTCGATATAAAGTATACGTGTGCTTTACGGTGTCAATTCATCAAAAGCTTAAATCTAATGGATAAAAGTAGGTCTTAAAAGTATCATCAATTCAACTAAAACATTACTCAAAAATTTATTGAAAATTTATCAAAAATCTAGATAATAACATACACTTTTAGAAGTTCCATTTGCATTTTATAAAATTAACGTTGGTACAGTTTTCATATCTGAATCGACATATCGTTTGAAGAAAAGGGCTTGACAGGAAGGTCATGATATTAAAGTATTTTCGGGGCCAGTTCGAAGATATGATAGTGCAACGTGCATATGCGACATTCAAATCAATGAAGAATAAGTTCAGCGAGAGTTTCTCTATTTCTTGCGATTTAACGCCTTAAGACTTTTTTCGGGGTTTACATTAAGACGTTGGCCTATGTCAACATATTGGCTCTAAACTTTAGAGTCTAAAGCATTCATTTATGCTAGCGCTTCCTATAGTCCAAAGAATAGTCTATAATCTAGCCTAAAGACAGGTCTATAATCTAGTCTAAAAGATAGTCTATAGTGTAGTATATTCCATAGTCTAGTCAGTTGTCTTGTCTATAGTCTAGTCTATAGTTTAGTCTAGCCTAAAAGGAATGAACAACCTTCTTTTTATCTCCAAAACTTCAATGAATAATACAATTTGGAGATTTCTAAACAATTTACTGGGAATATATTTTAACAACAGCTTACAGCCACCCTGAAATGAATGAATGATTATTGTAGTTTTTGTTGTTGTTTTCTTGTTTTTTTTTTCTTATTATTCATTTTGTCTGTCATTGCATTGGTATGAGTGTGTGTTTTTTCTGTTATTGTTGTTGCTGTTTTTATTATAAACATTTTAGAAGAGCGCGCGCGGGTTATGTGCAAATGAGGAGAGGTCATCTTTATTTGTTTTGTCTGTTTCTCGTAATTGTCATTTTTAACCAGTGTTGCCAACATTGGTCAAGCAAAACGCGCGCAAAAAAAATTAAAAAGGGGTAAAAAAGCGTAATTTTCTAACTGAAAATGGGTAAAAAAGCACTAACGTTTTTTTTAGTCAAATATTGTTTATTTTAATAAAAATTGCACATTATTTCGCTCATTTCCTACAAGACTCCAAAATTCGTTTTTTAGAACATTGGGCAAAACAAAACAAAACATGTGTCATACTAAAGTCTTTCATCTGTGTGAGTTAGATTTTTAGTAACGTAAGAACTAAAACTAATGTTTGACGAATATTAGATAAATAAGATGAGAATTTTAAAAGTTATTTTAAAAATAGTAAAATGTCATTAAACATTCAAACTGACAGGCACACTCCCAACTGGCCAACCGATGTACCCACACCCAAATTGTAAAATTGTACAAAACTTATGAAATATATTTTTTTTGCAAAATCTATATATATTATTTTTAAGTTTTTTGAGTTCTGGAAAAATTGTTAATTTCACTGATAGTGAATAACATAACTTATTGTAAAGTATTTTGAATATTTTGTTTTTTGTTTTTGAAGAATATTTGCTTTTAAAACTTAACACAAATAAAAAAAAACTTTGGAGCACCCGTGTAAAAAAATTTAAAACAGTTTTTAAGAAAAATTTAGTCCTTAGTGTAAACTGATCGTATTCTAATAAACAACAAAAAGTGGTACAAATAGAAAGATCAAAGAATGATCCCTCAGTTTTCTTAACATTATAGAGAAAATGTTTAATATTAATTAAATAAATTACCTCCTGAAATTCATAAATATTTTAAAATATTTTAACAAGAGTGTTATATTCGGCTGTGCCGAATCTTATATACCCACCATCAAATCTTATGCCGTAAAAGGAATGCTCCTCTGTAAACATCAGGGAGATAAGGCTTAATTCAATTATGTACGTGATCTTCAAATTAACAAAATATTAATTTTTAAAAACAAAATATTTTTGTCCAATTTTTTAACCATGAACATATATCAGAGGTAGTGTCAATTATGAACTGTTTGTCGTAAAATTTGGTAGAAAGATTTCGTATAACACTTATTCGTTTCGAATTTCATTGCTGTTCTCGAATTTTTAATTCAGTCATAAGCGTAAAAGTTGTTATCTAAAGGGGAACTTATATGGGGTTGGGACAATTATATATCGATACCCATAAAATTTTGTACATAGATTTTGTTTTGTTGGTCAGTTATACCCCAATCGTCATAAAATTCGGCATAAAGAATTATAATAAAAATCTTTTTATTGCGAGTACAACGATGAAGTAATCATGGAGGCTTTATATATGAGGGATAGGTTCAATTGTGTAAAAAAATTATATAAAACTTATTTTTTGTCAATTTTCATCGCTGTACTCATATTTTTAAGGGGACCTTAATAGGGGGTAGGGTACGCTACCGACAAATCCGAATTAAATTCGAATTTTTCCGCTATACTCGTATTTTTAAGTCAGTAATGAGCGTTAAAATCAATTTTTGAAGGTGACCATATGTGGGGGTAGGGTCAATTATGGACCGATTGCCGTAAAATTTGCTAGAGAGATTTTGGCTTATATAAAACATATTTATGTCGAATATTTTTAAGTCGATAATGAGTATTAATGTCATTTGGTAGAGAAATTTTGATGCATATAAAAGTTACTTATGTTGAATTTCAACGCTGCACTCATAGGGGGACCTTATTTGGGGGTAGGGTCAGTTATGGACCGATTCCCATAAAATTTTGTAGAGACATTTTGACTTATATAAAACTTATTTATGCCGAATTTCATCGCTATAACGTATTTTTAAGTCAGTAATGACCGTTTAAATCATTTTCTGAAGGAGACCTTATATGGGGGGTAGGGTCAATTATAGACCAATTTCTATAAAATTTAGTAGAGATTTTGGCATATATAAAACTTACTTATGTTGAATTTCATCGCTATACTCGTATGGGGGGTAGGGTCAATTTTGGACCGAATCCCATAAAATTTGGTACAGAGATTTTGGTGCATATAAAACTTATTTATGCCAAATTTTATCGCTATACTCGTATGTTTAAAACAGTTGTGACTGTTAAAGCTGTTTTTCGGGGGGGCCACTTGTATGGGGGATATGCGAAATTGTGGACCCATATTGTCCATTTGCAATACCAAACAAACCTTACCTATAAGAAATATTTGTGGAAAAATGTAACTCCCTTGCTCTTTCCGTTCTAACCCTATCGTGCTTTCAACAGACGGACGGACAGATGAACAGACGGATGGACATGGTTAGATCGCCTTAGAATTTAATACTTTTGTGGGTCTACGACCAATGTGTTACAAACGGAGTGACAAAATCAATATACCCCACTCATCTTTTTTGATGGTGGGTATAAAAAGCACTAAATGCACTGTCATAAAATTAGAAAGCACCACTGTAGTGCCTTTTTGAAAAAAGGCACCATGAGCAAAATTTTCCGCGTTTGGCACACCAAAAAGCACCGCAAATAGTGCTAAAAGCACTAAGTTGGCAACACTGTTTTTAACACGAAACGATTCTTTTTGCTACTTTTATTATTGTTACTCTCTACCTATAGTACTAAACTAACTCACCTGGAATGGGACAAACAAAAGGCAGAATAGAAGGGAACAAATAATAAAAAAAAGAATACAAAAATAGTGGTGTTAATTATTAAAGTACATTTATACATAATATAATAAAATACATAAATAAATTTAAATAATTTGAGTATAATTAAACAAAAACTGAAGGTTAAAATCTTAGTTTAGAAATATTAAAAAAAAGGAAATTTTAAAGTTGTAAATTTATGCTCATTAAATTTGATAAAGAGAAGTTTTAATAATTTTTTTTTTATATATTTTTATGTTATTTTAGTGTTTTTTTACATATAAATACCCACTCAAAACAAACGTGTAGTGTTTGGTCCAATTTATAAAAAAATCGAAAATAAAAAACAAAATTTTGTTTAAATTCCCTCCCACAGTGCGTCGGTGGGCCCTGCACAAGTGTTAAATTTGAATTTCGAAAATCATCAAAGAAAGTTTTAGAAAGGTATGTATGTATGGGTGTGTGCATATATTCATTTTATTTTTATTTTTAAAATTTACTTTTACTATTTATTTAACAATTTCTAGTGTTTATTTAGTCTTATCATGTTTTTTGTTAAATAAATTTACTTTAGATAACAATTTTAAATTGTTAAGAGCAGTGATATTTTCTTTTTTAAAACTAAAACTCAAGGTCGTATGTTTTTTTCTTGTATTCTTTTAAATGTAATGCTAGTTTTAATTAGAATACATTTTGTATTTTAATTCAATGAAGGCATGTATTAAAAAAAGAATCTATTAATTATTTAGTTGAAGGGGTCATTTAGTTAACTTCCGGTTGTAACTTGTGTTTAACCCTTAAACGAAACTGATATAGATAATGTCCATAAGTTTGAAAGTTAATTAAAAATAGCCGTTACTATAGACTAGTCTATAGTCTAGTCTATAGTCTAGTCTATAGTCTAGTCTATAGTCTAGTCTATAGTCTAGTCTATAGTCTAGTCTATAGTCTAGTCTATAGTCTAGTCTATAGTCTAGTCTATAGTCTAGTCTATAGTCTAGTCTATAGTCTAGTCTATAGTCTAGTCTATAGTCTAGTCTATAGTCTAGTCTATAGTCTAGTCTATAGTCTAGTCTATAGTCTAGTCTATAGTCTAGTCTATAGTCTAGTCTATAGTCTAGTCTATAGTCTAGTCTATAGTCTTCTATAGTCTAGTCTATAGTCTAGTCTATAGTCTAGTCTATAGTCTAGTCTATAGTCTAGTCTATAGTCTAGTCTATAGTCTAGTCTATAGTCTAGTCTATAGTCTAGTCTATAGTCTAGTCTATAGTCTAGTCTATAGTCTAGTCTATAGTCTAGTCTATAGTCTGTCTATAGTCTAGTCTATAGTCTAGTCTATAGTCTAGTCTATAGTCAGTCTATAGTCTAGTCTATAGTCTAGTCTATAGTCTAGTCTATAGTCTAGTCTATAGTCTAGTCTATTAGTCTAGTCTATAGTCTAGTCTATAGTCTAGTCTATAGTCTAGTCTATAGTCTAGTCTATAGTCTAGTCTATAGTCTAGTCTATAGTCTAGTCTATAGTCTAGTCTATAGTCTAGTCATAGTCTAGTCTATAGTCTAGTCTATAGTCTAGTCTATAGTCTAGTCTATAGTCTAGTCTATAGTCTAGTCTATAGTCTAGTCTATAGTCTAGTCTATAGTCTAGTCTATAGTCTAGTCTAGTCTATAGTCTAGTCTATAGTCTAGTCTATAGTCTAGTCTATAGTCTAGTCTATAGTCTAGTCTATAGTCTAGTCTATAGTCTAGTCTATAGTCTAGTCTATAGTCTAGTCTATAGTCTAGTCTATAGTCTAGTCTATAGTCTAGTCTATAGTCTAGTCTATAGTCTAGTCTATAGTCTAGTCTATAGTCTAGTCTATAGTCTAGTCTATAGTCTAGTCTATAGTCTAGTCTATAGTCTAGTCTATAGTCTAGTCTATAGTCTAGTCTATAGTCTAGTCTATAGTCTAGTCTATAGTCTAGTCTATAGTCTAGTCTATAGTCTAGTCTATAGTCTAGTCTATAGTCTAGTCTATAGTCTATAGTCTATAGTCTAGTCTATAGTCTAGTCTATAGTCTAGTCTATAGTCTAGTCTATAGTCTAGTCTATAGTCTAGTCTATAGTCTAGTCTAGTCTAGTCTATAGTCTAGTCTATAGTCTAGTCTATAGTCTAGTCTATAGTCTAGTCTATAGTCTAGTCTATAGTCTAGTCTATAGTCTAGTCTATAGTCTATCTAGTCTATAGTCTAGTCTATAGTCTAGTCTATAGTCTAGTCTATAGTCTAGTCTAGTCTATAGTCTAGTCTAGTCTATAGTCTAGTCTATAGTCTAGTCTTTAGTCTAGTCTATAGTCTAGTCTTTAGTCTAGTCTATAGTCTAGTCTTTAGTCTAGTCTATCTAGTCTATAGTCTAGTCTATAGTCTAGTCTATAGTCTAGTCTATAGTCTAGTCTATAGTCTAGTCTATAGTCTAGTCTATAGTCTAGTCTATAGTCTAGTCTATAGTCTAGTCTATAGTCTAGTCTATAGTCTAGTCTATAGTCTAGTCTATAGTCTAGTCTATAGTCTAGTCTATAGTCTAGTCTATAGTCTAGTCTATAGTCTAGTCTATAGTCTAGTCTATAGTCTAGTCTATAGTCTAGTCTATAGTCTAGTCTATAGTCTAGTCTATAGTCTAGTCTATAGTCTAGTCTATAGTCTAGTCTATAGTCTAGTCTATAGTCTAGTCTATAGTCTAGTCTATAGTCTAGTCTATAGTCTAGTCTATAGTCTAGTCTATAGTCTAGTCTATAGTCTATTCTAGTCTAGTCTATAGTCTAGTCTTTAGTCTAGTCTATAGTCTAGTCTTTAGTCTAGTCTATAGTCTAGTCTTTAGTCTAGTCTAGTCTATCTAGTCTATAGTCTAGTCTATAGTCTAGTCTATAGTCTAGTCTATAGTAGTCAGTCTATAGTCTAGTCTATAGTCTAGTCTATAGTCTAGTCTATAGTCTAGTCTATAGTCTAGTCTATAGTCTAGTCTATAGTCTAGTCATAGTCTAGTCATAGTCTAGTCTATAGTCTAGTCTATAGTCTAGTCTATAGTCTAGTCTATAGTCTAGTCTATAGTCTAGTCTATAGTCTAGTCTATAGTCTAGTCTATAGTCTAGTCTATAGTCTAGTCTATAGTCTAGTCTATAGTCTAGTCTATAGTTCTAGTCTATAGTCTAGTCTATAGTCTAGTCTATAGTCTAGTCTATAGTCTAGTCTATAGTCTAGTCTATAGTCTAGTCTATAGTCTAGTCTATAGTCTCGTCTATAGTCTAGTCTATAGTCTAGTCTATAGTCTAGTCTATAGTCTAGTCTATTAGTCTAGTCTATAGTCTAGTCTATAGTCTAGTCTATAGTCTAGTCTATAGTCTAGTCTATAGTCTAGTCTATAGTCTAGTCTATAGTCTAGTCTATAGTCTAGTCTATAGTCTAGTCTATAGTCTAGTCTATAGTCTAGTCTATAGTCTAGTCTATAGTCTAGTCTATAGTCTAGTCTAGTCTATAGTCTAGTCTATAGTCTAGTCTATAGTCTAGTCTATAGTCTAGTCTATAGTCTAGTCTATAGTCTAGTCTATAGTCTAGTCTATAGTCTAGTCTATAGTCTAGTCAATAGTCTAGTCTATAGTCTAGTCTATAGTCTAGTCTATAGTCTAGTCTATAGTCTAGTCTATAGTCTAGTCTATCGTCTAGTCTATAGTCTAGTCTGTAGTCTAGTCTATAGTCTAGTAGTCTAGTCTAGTCTATAGTCTAGTCTATAGTCTAGTCTATAGTCTAGTCTATAGTCTAGTCTATAGTCTAGTCTATAGTCTAGTCTATAGTCTAGTCTATAGTCTAGTATAGTCTAGTCTAGTCTAGTCTATAATCTATTCTATAATCTAGCCTATTGTCTATTCTATAGTATAGTCTATTGCCTAGTCAAAATCCATATACAAAAATATAACGAATTTGCAACCACATTTCTGAATTCGCCAGTATTTAAAATTCGCCTTAATAATTTAAGTTAGTATTCATTAGTTGTTAGTTATTTTTCTAAATAAATTTAATTTTACTATTTGACGTATTTATTACTTTTTTCCACTATTGTCATGTTGTTTATTTCTTTCTGTACATTGTTTGGTTTTTTATTTATATTTTACATAACCACCCCTTTTTGTTTACGCCTGCTATTTTAGTTGCCGTTTTTTTTCGTTTTTGTTTATTTTCTGCTAGTTTTGCGAAATTTTCTGACTACGTCAATTGTCAACTAAAATACCAAATTTCTCTAATAGTCACGTTCAATTTTATTATTACACAAATAACTATTTCATGTATAGAAAAATCACATACATAAATGTTTCTTTTTGTATTACAAAAAAATAAAACACATTTAAATGCGATTTAATTGTAATAATAGCGCCATTTCTTATCATTGTTGTAATTTGTGTTCTATTTGTTGGGGATTTATCACTCTCTCTTTCTCGCTCTTGATCGTTTATTTTACTCTTTATTTAGTAGATTTCAATTACCCCAGAGTAGTATGAGATTTCATTGAAAAATATTTTTATTTTTATTGTAATTGTTTTTTTTTTTTTAATATTATACCATTTTGTACTTGGTACAATAACGAATTTTAATAGTCATCAGGCATTTCCATTAATTTCTGGTGTTTATAGGAAACAGATTTATTTTTTTACTGTTTTCATTTGTTATCAATTTTTTTGTTTTGGGAAAAAGAATTAAGTATAAAGTTTGCAAAAAAAGGGAGGTGTTTATTTTAGATCTATAGCCGGGGGAAAAATAGTACTATGTATTATCATATGAATTGGGTATTTATTATAAAAACGTAAATATTGTTATTACTTTTTTATTATCAAATCATTAAGTTATGACGCAGTGTAAAAATGTAAATAGATTAATATTGCATCATGGTTGTTTTAATCAGAGAACGAAAGTATTATAAATAGTTTCTTATGTATAGATTTAAAAATAACTGAAAGAGAATTTATACAAGATCTAGTTTAAGGCAAGGCGAATCGTCTATAAGGTAAAGACATTTCAACAGCTGATTGTATGGTTAGTTTATCAAATTGTATTCCGCAGCTGTCAATGTCCACATAAATCACACTCTCTTATAATCGACGAATTCGTTCCATTTTTCAGAATTCTCCAGTGACTTCACCTAATATAGATTTCGTCTTAACAGGAACTAAGGCGTATCGATTATAACATTTCAATATCAGTTTGTTTCCGAAAATTTATTACTAGTTTATAACGAATTCGCTCCACTCCACTTCTTAAATCGATTCGCCTTGAACTTTATCTTGAATATGTTATGTATTTGACTTAGGGTTCTCCAGTTGAAACAAAAAGTCGACTTCCAATAATTTTTTATTATCGACTTTCGAATCTTTTCGACTTATTTCGGTATTTTTCTATTAAATCGACTTTCAAATTGTCGA